AGAAAGAGAACGGATTACATTTTTTATGTGTGCACGCAAAGTGGGTCTGGAATTCTTTAAATTATGCATGTCCGGCATTATTTGTAGCTGGATAGATTCGTAGTAGTTCCATACGTCACTGAGCCGTTGGAAAGTAGCAAAACCAGTGTTACTATAGTGCTATTATAATCTTTAGGATAGATCATAGAGACAAGCGTATAAAAGTTGGAGATCTCAGGACCGTACGTCGGAAACGACCTAAAATTAGTCTCGAATCTGCAGGTAGAGGTAGACTACCTGCTGTTTAAGTTCAACTACCTGTTTCGACTGTTTCAAATACTTTTGTGACGCCTTTCAAGCCATGAAAGAATTAATTAAAAACCCATAAACCCATCCTGACGGAAGAGGATCGGTAGGTAATAATTCCTTGGTCTTCAGTCCTATATTGACGATGAACGTTGAGGACAGTTCTGTGTTTCAGCAACCTGTACCTGAAATTTTTTTAAGAAATACTGTTAGGACAAATGTTTCGTAATTATTTTTTAGTTCCGAATTTTATTATTATGCAGAGTATCCCAGAAAAAATGATAGAGCCGAAAAAAGAGGTGTTTCTGAAACACAATTTCCTCTGGTAAAAGCAAAGTGAAGCATGATTTTTGAATTATTAGCGGAAGAGGCTGACCAATGAGAACACGTGTAGGGCCCGCGCTTAATCACGGTCGAGACATCCGAACCAACCTATCCGTGACCGAGCGCAGGCCCTATACGTATTCTTATTGGTCAGCGTCGTCCGCTAATAATTCAAAAATTCATTTCACATTTTGCCAAAAAAAATCCTTGTTCAGAAACACTTCTAGAATCGCCCCTTTTCAGCTCTAACAATTTTTCTGAGACACCCTGTATATATAATTTACGTAGCATTAATTAAGATAAAAATGGGTCTATTGCAAGTAAGTTTCTAATTTCTTCTTTTAATAATAAAATGTAATAATCGGATATTTCTATAAAGTGGTTGTGTTCATCTTTAACTCTGTCAATAATTGATAATAGATTGATAAATTTCAGAATGATTTTGTTACGCCATGAAGACCTTATTTTTGTTTCTTGTTCTTCTCGTTTCCTGCAATTCTTCTTGTTCAATTGTTTATCTTCTACCCTTCAATAAATGACTTAAGGATGTATTGGCTATACNATTTATTATTAGCATTATTCTTCCTACGTCTGATTTCTTTTTAATTATAGGAAATGCGTTTTTCTAAGGTACATAAACTTTTGGGATTGACTGTATAGCCAATACATCCTTAAACTGATTCGATGCAATAATTTAAGTACCCCTCAGAATTCCGCTTACCAACTAGTTTTTCGGATAGTTTCCGTTGAAATACACCTTCTTCAAGAGTTCTCAAGAGGCATTCAGACTTGTTTTATACATATGTGGGATACAAGTCGACTTATAAGCGTTTAGTTAGTTATTTTTTACTGTCTATGTGTTGCTGTAATTCCCATCTTCATTTTTGTCCCGGATTTTCCAAAAATCACCGCGTATCATGTATATCAATGCGAGACTAGATCTGGCCGACCTAGCCTCTAATCTAACCGCTAGACCGGCAGTCGGCGGCGGCAGCGTTCGTATAATTTGTCCCGCACGACTCGCTTCCCCTGTTTTTCGCCCATATTTCGATCCCCACTACTATTCTCCTCATACGCCTTCGCTGACCATGCCTAACATACCCCTATCAAGTACAAGTCCCCACAATGGCCGCGTCGTCCCCAGTTTCCGGCCGAGGGACAAATTATACGAACGCTGAGCGGCGGATGCGCGTCGTGCGTTGCACATGGAGGGGAATTATTAACGACGTTTTTTCCTATTTCCCTCTTACCCTCCCCTCTGCCCCGCCACTTCCCTTAACGGCGGTATACAAGGGGAAGCATAGGGGGGATTGACAGTCAGCAGCTTCAGCAGCGAGCGGGCATCCGCGAGGCCGCGAGTTTTATTCCTGACCACAACACTTGTGCGGTCAGTTACACGAATATAGAACGATTTTATGCGAACATAAAATGCCTCGTCTCTCCACCAACAACAAGCAATAAATCATTGAATTCTAATACACGGTCGCGTATCAACCCTCGCTGTTACTAACAGAGGCACTAGGGATGTGAACCTAGTCCCTCCAAAATCTTCACGAACGAATTAGTCCACAGTTTATTATCACTCTGTTAATAAATAAAACGTACACACCGTTTCGTTGACAGAAATAATATAATTTGTTAATATTTAATTCTGTAAAACGTGTACGTAAATCTCATCTGGACGTAAATATCGTGCGGTTCTCATATTTGACGATTTTGGAATATTGATCGTGTAATACGAAAGATTTGTGCTCGAAACATAGTCCGCCTTTGAAAACAGCTCGCTCGTGTTTTATTAGTGAATATCTTTTTACAGGGAGGAACTCGATAGGAAGTATTAAAGATGAGAGATCACCACCGTTGATTCTGGTTTTGTTCTGAGTAAATCGGTAATAATTACTTTGTTATTCATTGTTAAATTTAAAGTAGTTGTGTTTCCATAAAGTTTGCTCGTTTAAACGAAACTTCTGTTAATTTATCATCAAAACGTACAATCCAGTGTTATTTGTTTAGAGAAATAAATATATAATTAATAAAACATAGAGTTTCCTGTGAATGTAAATTATACGATTTTGCAATGTCAATCGTGTAATAGATTTGTGGTTCAACATAGTCCCTCTTTGAAAAGGACTCAATTGTGCATTATTAATGGCTATCTTTTTACAGGAAGTAACTCAATACGAAGTATTAAAGATGAGAGATCAGCACCGTTGATTTGGTTTTTGTTGTCGTGAATCGGTAAGAATG